GCCGCGGGCGGTGCCGCCAAGGTCCTGGGGCCGCCAGGGTCACCGGGCATCTTAGGCACAGGATCCCGGGACCCTTCCAAAGCTGGGAGAGGGAGGTGGCTGAGGAGAGAGGTGGAAAGAGGACTGGGAGTCACCAGCGAAACAAGAAGCAGCCTTTTCAACGTACAACTTAAAATTACAGAGGATTAAAAACAAAAGTCAGTGGCAGCGTGGAGAGGGAAGGGAGGGATTAGGATACTTGAATCAAATTCTTATATTTCATAGTAAAGTTATAATATAACATAATATTAGATATACTATTACAACATATTTTTAACATAGCTACTGGTATTACATAATATTAGCAATACAGCATTGTTTGTATTTATCAAGAGAAGAATCCTCCAGCTATGCACAAGTTACAGGCCAGCTGGGCAACATAGCCAGACCCTGTCTCAAAATTAAAAATGAAAAGGGCTGGCCAGGTGCAGTGGGGCACACCTGTAATCCCAGTACTCTGGGAGGCTGAGGCAGGAGGATCACAAGTTCAAGCCTGGCCTGGGCAACTTAGTGACTTAGCAAGATTCTGTCTCAATTTTTTTTTTTTTCAAAAACAAGAAAAATTTTAAAAGAGCTAAGGATGTAGCTCAGTTCAAAGGCCTTGGGTTCTATCTCCACTACCACAAAAATATAAAAATAAAATAAAAAGGGCTGAGACTATAGCTGGATGGTAGAAGCTTCTTTATCAGGCCCTGGGTTCAATCCCCTGCACAGGAAGGGCGGGGAAGGAGAAAGGGAGAGAGGCAGGGGGAAAAAGGAGGGGAGGAGAAAAAGGAGGGAAGGAAGGAAAGAAGAGAGAGTGAGAGAGAAAGGAGAAAGAAAGAGGAACTCAAAATGGAAAAAGGTGCAGTGGTTGTCTCTGAAACATGGACCGTGGGGTGGGCAGAAATGGGCAAAAGGTTACCTCCTGCTACAAATGCTTTAGAGATTTCTTTGTCATTGTTTTTCAAAATTATTATTATTGGGGTTGGGGTATAGCTTAGCAGTTAAGTGCTTCCTTAGCATCCTTAAGGTTCTGTGTTCCGAGAGAGGGGGGGGGGGAGGCAAAAACTGTATCTTCCGTTTGATACCCATTATATGTGTATATCTGTATCTATGGGTTCTACATCCACAAATTCAATCAACTATAGGTTGAAAATATTATTATAAAATCTGGATCTAGGGGCTGGGGATTTAGCTCAGTGGTTCCACCGCTTGTCTCGCAAACGTAAGGTCCCAAATTCGATTCCCGGTACCCAAAAAACTGGATCTGTGCTGAACATATATAGGCTCTTTTCTTGTCATCATTCCCTAAGCAACGCAGTATAATGACTATTTGCATAGCATCTGCATTGTATTAGGTATTATAGGTAACCTAGAGGTGATTTTAATCTATGGGAGGATGTGTGCAGGTTATATAAAAACAGTGAACCGTTTTAAACAGCGATGCGACTAGCCTCAGGTTTTGGTATCCATGAGGGGTCCTGGAACAAATGCCCCAAGAAACCAAAGAACAGTAGTACACGGTACATGCAGACATGTGTGCAACTGTTCTCGGCCTCAGCACTGGTGACATTTGGGCTGTGTGTGTGTGTGTGTGTGTGTGTGTGTGTGTGGTGGGGGCTGCCCTGTGCCTGGTCCCTCAGCACATTCTACACAGCTGTGCCCTCCAGATGTTTAGTCACGTCCCTGGCTCTACACACTAGATGCCAGTAGCACCCACTGTCACCGCCTGTGACAACCAACAGTGTCTCCAGACATTACTAAATGGCCCATGAGGAGGGCAAAAGTACTTGCAGTGGCTGTCAGGACTGAGGATGCCAGCGTATAACAGAGGAGACCAGGGAGGAGGAAAAGCTAGACTGTGGTGACCCACTATCTTGCTTCAGGCACAAAACCTTGGAATATCTGGCATCCTTTTCACCAGGTCACAGCCCTATCTCACATAGGTGGCACCTGCTATCTGTAGCACAGCATTTATCAGGGGAGTTTTGTGGATGGAAATTTACATGAGAAGAAACTGAGGTCGAGAGAGGTTGAGCGCCTTGACCAGTAGCAGGTGGTCACTAGCAGGTGGTTGATTTGCTGCCATGCCTTGCCCTCACAGTCGGACTCCACTTTCTGCCTCCTTAGGACACCAGTTTTCTGGCCTTGCTGCTCCCCTGACCCCTGGTGTTTCCTGCCCAGAGTGGAGCACAGCCTGGGGGCCCTGCTCAACCACCTGTGGGCTGGGCATGGCCACCCGGGTGTCCAACCAGAACCACTTCTGCCGACTGGAGACCCAGCACCGCCTGTGCCTGCCCAGGCCCTGCCCACCTGCCAGGGGTCGAAGTTCATGGAACAGTGCCTTCTAGAGCCGGCTG